ATAAAATGAAGATGATGGAATATCCACTCCTAATAATAGAGGTCTGGCTAGACCTCTCTTTTCATTCACCATCATATATCACTGACCATAAACTTTCTGTGCCTAAATATAGGTAGAAAAGAGGGAAGCTCTGTAGTGTAAACTGATCACCCTCTTATATCTGAACAAACCGTCTCTCAACAGATGGAGTGGCCTCAAAGGAATTTGAAGGCAATTGTGCTACTTGTACAGATCATTTTTTAAAAATGAAAATCTAAAGTCATTAAATTTGGGCATGATACCATAAAGAGAAGTTGAAATGTTATACACTGTCAATGTCAGCCCAGCAGGGAAGAGTTTGAATACTTTCTCTGAGATCTGGATGCTGCTGAGCCATATCCTTTCCTGAGCTCCTTGACCAAGTCTCCTCACCTTTTTATGTTGGTGACTTCAGTAACATCAACCTCCATGTCTTAGGATCTGGGGGTCAAGAATGCATGACCTCTATGATGAAAATGGGCTCATCCCAGTTGGTACATATTGGAGCCCTAGATATTTTTGTTTCGGAAAAATTGTTGAGTGATATGAATTTGGCAGGCATAGCATTTTACTCCATGAGACGAAAACTGGGTGATAATCTTGCCATAGTATCAGAGGCTTCTTCTAGCCTGTTGATTCAGATAAAATTGATAGGATAATTTCTAGTTTATCTCCTGCCACTTGTAGGCTGGGTCCTGGAGTAAACAATATTTTCCTGCTGCCTTAAAAGCGGCTACAGTGCCCCCCCATATCTTAAGAAAATCCCCCTGGAAACAACTGTGTGAGATAACTATTATTTTTATTTTTAGATATGTTTCTTGAGGCTATGATGATAAGATAGCAACAGAGCATATTAGAAGTAAGGGACTATTGGACAATTTGGACAATTTTTGAAACGATTTTAAAGAGAGCTTTATGTGAAACAGTTTGCAGTAATCCATGCATATGATTTTGCAAGCATGATTTTTTAGGTCCTTCTGGTAGATTTGTAACTTGTAGATTATAAAAAGAGTACAGTTTTCACTTGCATATCCAGCATACTTATCCAGCAGTAGCTGGAATCTAGTACCACCTAGGAGCACCTATAGGTTAGAGATCTGTTCTGTAAGGACAATCCATCCTTTCAAGACTGCAATACTAGAGTTGACTGAGAAACTTAATGTACAAACAATAATTTCAAAAATTGTAGTTTGTACAAAAATGTAGTGATTTGCATGCTAATTGACACTAGTTTAGTCCCATGAACATATTTGTCTATACTGCAAGCCCTGAATTGGCTGCCTGTAATTGAAAATGTAGGTTTTAACTCCTGAAACCCTACGTAGCTTGGTGCCAAAATAACAGTGTTGGATGCTATTGAAAACTTGTTTCAGTCAAAATAAGTATATAAGCAGCAATTCCTGTGCACAGATTATACATTAGAAAATCAAACTGCATGTATTGTACTTGGTCCAACCCCTGTCCCATTGTTATCCCTTATAGAAAAAGCATATTGACCTCAATTTGCACTTCTGCATGGAAATTTGTTTACATGAAGTATATTCAGATGTCTGTCACATGGGCTGAATGACAATCTTTTAAGTATCCAACATATCCCGTGTTCATTTAACATACAATATCCCATATAGGATGCTGTTGCCACAGCTGCTGTGATTTATCCTGTAACAGCTACAGGATGAGATGAGGTTGAAATTCTAAATTACACATTTTCTGAGCAGAAGTGGTAGAAATGTCATATTAAGTTTTAGTTTTCTTAGTAGTCACTGGTTTTATTGCATGAAGCCATGAATGCACGAGTGGGACCATACATATGAGTTCCACTAAATTATTTCCAGACTTGTTGGCTTTGTCTCTAACATTACTGAGTGTGAAGATTTGGAGGGAAATGTTGGAAGCATGCTTGGCTCATTAAAGTTCCTAATAATTTAGGAGGATTCTAAACATGCTTCGTTGAAAATGTTTAACAGCCCTTTGGGGCCTTGCTTGTTCAATGTGAAGCAGTTCAGAATGGGGACAGCATCTGCAAAGACAATGAAGGAGGCCTTCAAGTGCAATTCAGTCCCTCCTACTTGGGCTCAGGCAATAATTCCTCAAAAGAGCTAGTGTGAAATCAATTAGCTAACAATGTGGCCTGAAGATGAAACTATTAGTTTAGGATAATCTAAATCCTCTGTCTTGTTGCTTGTAGCATTTCCTCTCCTCTTAATTTGTGTGCCATTCAAACAATTATTCTGCCAAGATTCCTGTGATCTAATAAACTGTGAGGAAAGTACAAACCCACTGTGTTAATAATGGGATCAATTAAGCAATTAAATCATCATTAGAGGAGTTCCACTGAGGAATCTGAGGGTAGTGTCTGGGGTGGGTAAGGGGTTAAACCATAGACTATTAGGCTTTCCTTGAACAGAATAAACCATTGACAGCAGCATGACACTGAAACCATTTGTAAAGATTATAAAGAGTACCAGTTAAAAATAACTTATCTTGTGATATACAGGAAATCCCCCTCAAACAAAAACAAATAAAAAACTGGACTTTCAGAAAGATGAAATTGTTTTCTAATTATAGAAGCAGAGAAAATTATGAATATGACAAGGAGGTTGGGAGCTGTTGAGATGACAATCCAGTGATATCCATGGCAAGCTGCCAACAGATGTTATGCTCATTGAATATTGATGAAATAATTGTTACAAAAAACACCAGTTGTACAATTACATATTTAGAGGCATAACATCTTGGTGCAACCTGAGAATATGGCACCTGGGACTGAAGACTGATTAAGATGGCAGTTTATGCCTATATTGTTGATGAAAAGAGACGATCATAATAATGAGGGCTAAAAGGTCTCTGACATGGGAAAAAAGATTGATAATGAGTGAACAGTGACATAAATGTATTAATTTTTAATAGCTATTGAGATGTGACATAAGTGAAGCAGGATAATATCAAGAACATCGTTTTTAAAAGCCATCCATTTTCATATTAAAGGAGGGTGTGTATGCCAATGGCAAACTTATCCTCTGAACATGTATCATTGTGTAGCCAAAACCACAGCATCCTCATGGAAAAAAGAATTGAATATCTCAGGAGAAATCATGACTTGCTGGTTGAAATGTTAAATAGGAATGTTGCAACATTTTGCATAGTTGTTATTGCCAGAATAGAAAATCATATTTCTATGTAGTACTTGTGTGTTTATGTTGATATGGTGTATGATATCATCAGAATGCTGGTAATAACCAACTGTATTTCTCTGCCCTAGACTAACTGGGTTGAGTCTTTCCCAACCAAGACTATGGATGGGGAAGAATAGCCTTTGGATCAATTGTGGCAAGACCAGGTGACAGTGGACTTTAATGTCAATCAGGTTTTCCACCCTTAACTTTGCCATGACTCCTGCTTGAAGATCAGGTGGCAATCATGGTTATGAAGACTTTTGCACAGTTTATCTTGTATACTAATTGTGCCTGTTCTGGATGGGAGGCCTTGCTGACTCACATCTCAGTTGCCTCTCATTATTATTACTAGTTCAGAACATAGCAATGTAGACAGGTTTTGGCATGTCCTGTAATACCGATACCATATTATCAGTCTGCTAGCTGCAGTAACTTCCAGTACATTTCTGAACTGTCCTAAGGTGCTAGTTTATTTATTATTATTATTTATTTATTATTTAAATTTATATCCCGCCCTTCTCCTTGCGGACTCAGGGCGGTTAGTTATCACCAACAAAGTCTAAAGTGGCATAGAAACAGATATTATTCCTACTTTTTTTAAAAAAATAGACAATGATAGAATTGCAATTTTGTAAGAACATAAAAAGACTAGATCTTTTTATGGACTAAATCAAGTATAGGATTCAGTGTGGAAGCCTCCACACACATAGCATTTAGTGTCACACAATAGCTAGGCATTGAGAGAGGTCACAGACATGGAATGGATGGTAATATCAGTTTTTTATTGTTCCCTTGTATTTAAAGTATGCTTCCTATAATCATCAAGACCACTAGTCTTGATGATTATCACCAAGACCACTACCTGAATCGCCATGTTTTTATTCAGATCCTTTTAAAACATCTACATTAATAATTATTACCACAATTGTTGCTACAGTTTAAGAAAAAAAAACTGCACAGAAGTATTGAAAAATTACAGCACAAAAAACAACTTTTTCATTCTTGAACAAAAATTCTGATGTATCTAAATGGCAAAATACATATATTAAACCTAACTGAAACAATTAAGATTTATTTCATTGTACAAAATTTATACATAATACCTAAATATCTAATACGTAAAATAATTATTCCAAAAATCTTGTAGCATCACCGACAACAAAGCTATCTTCCTACACAGAAAGAATGATTATAATTCTGAAAAATCTTACTATTCTTTAAATGAAGGACATGCAATTAAATTTAAATACGCAAAACAAATGCACAAGTAACCTCAGTTATTTAAATATATCATTACTTGTATTAATAATTTTAAATAGTAAATATTTTAATGATAAAATTCGTTATGCTGCTGTCACGAAGGAATTTTAATGAGACTAGACTATTCACTATCATTTATTTCGACTATATTTTGATGGACATAATTTCTACAAAAACATTATTCTTTCTTTCTATTCCACATCACTTTTCCCAAATCCATAACATTATCATAGGGAAAGTAGGGACTACTTTCAAACACTGTTATTTGTCTGTTAGTAAGCCAAATTTAAAATGCTTTCTTCTAGATTATTGTATGACTAAAACAAAATCCAAACAAAAACACAGTATTTGCATTGATAGTATAACAATTAAAATTTCCAGTGCAGCACCTGGCTGCAGTTTAATTTGGACTAATTTGAAATGCAAACAATTTGCTTAAAGCATTTATTAAATTAAAAACAAATCCTGCTGAACAAAGGGAAATGAAAATTGTACAAGAGTTGTTGTAGTAAATATTAACACTAAAATAATTGTTTTAATTAAATATTATTTAACTGCATCCATAGTTAAAATTAAGAACTTGCTGTCATAGAATTCTGATCCTAGAAAGCAACAAAAAAATTTAGTTCAAGCTTACCTTAAACTATTCATATTTCAAAAAAGAGAAAAAAAGGGATCATATCTTTCCAAGGAAGAACACCAAAAATGATAATGGAAGGACGATCTTACAGTAAATGTAAAACATTTTGAATAGTGACAATAGCTTTGGGTACTGTACATATTTGCCTCACAGCATTCAAATTTATAAAATTAGTAGCAAAGGTTGTTGAACCACAAATTTCAAAGTTGTTAAATCAAAATGGTCTTACTAGCAGTTTTTACATCTAAAATTAAACCTTTAAAGTTACAAGAATTTTTTTAGGCTTAGGAAAGACACAAACAGGAGGAATTGATATTTCTCATCTTGAATGTATTTAACCAATTCTTTGTGATCTTGATCTAAAACTAATAGCTAGTTTCAACAAATGAACTTTTATAATGCATATAAGCAAAATTAGTAGCCCTACCTTTTGTGTAGCTTTTATCACCTGATCCTTGGCATCCATCTTCATCATCACAGTCTCCACTTGATTCTGTCTCTTTACTCATTCCATTCCCACTGCTGCCTTCCCTGTCAATCCAACTTTCGGATTGTAAACTTGTTGTGTGGGCTGCCAGCTACAATGCAAAACATTGGTAAAAGTATTCAGATTTCTAGGGGAAAAAATGTAACACTGTTTTTATCATTGCTCAGTTTGCCAATGAAGTCAGAATCAGCAGTTTAATATAAATTCATTAAAAGCAATATGAACTACTAAATGAAAGACAGAGCATTACTAATGAGTTTATTATTGAAACTCAAGACATTTTATTAGACATACTTCTGCACATATTGTTGTGTCTTCTAATAGCAGTCTTTTGAGCTTTGTTGTTTCTTTTACAACTATTAGATTTTATTTTCAATGCCACTGGTTCCAGAACATATCAGTTGGCTATCAATATTTCCTATCTTTAGTTATTTACAAGTTTTTCATTCATATTGATCATATATTACCTCCAGTAACTAAGCCTCTATATCTCTTAATAATACTTGGTGGGAAATACAAATGGGAAATTGCTATTGTGCTCAGGTCTTGAGGGTGGTCTTGAGTCCCTTAACAAACTACTTGTTTACCAGGCTACTGGCAAAAGGAGGATGTATCCTCATTTGTGACCTCATGTCAGCAGGCATGGCCTTAAAATCAAAGGGAACATGTTTAGCTACTTCTGCTTTCTCCCTTCTTATCTACAGTGTGCCAGACTTACTGGGTGAAATCTTTATCTTATGTGTGTCAACTTTGCTGGATGGTTTGCTTATGTAATCAGAAAGAATAAATACAAGAATTTCTTGTCATTTGGGGCTTCTCTCATTTAGAGGAGTCCGTCTCTGTTCAGCTGAATAAACACGTAAGCTTGAAGGCAACTTCTGGTTTCCTTTTGGTTACATTTTTTCAGTTTTTTTAACTGTAATTTACTCTAATACTGAAAAGTAAAATAGTTAATATGTCTTCTTTTTCTCTCTTTTCCAATTGTTCATGTATTTTCCCTATTCAGTTATCTGGTAATTCTACTCTTAAGTATCTAGTTAGTGATATGAACACATTGCTTCTGTTTTATCAGTTGCTGCATCAAAAATACTATTTTTAACATTTTTTTCTCCATTGTCTTCCAAAAAGATTCTTGCTACTAACTTCTGAAGTCAAATTCCCTGTTTTTAACAAGTCAACTAACATACCCCACCATCCATATAAGAATCTCTCTGAAGATTGCTACAGTGGTGGCCTCCAAAAAAGTGAATAATGAATTTCTGTTTGTACAGCAGAGATAGTTGGCATGATTTGAGACAGGCGGAATCTGTTGTATATATTTGCATTGTACATTGTTCAATGAATCATTACTGTCTTTTATGGAAGGTAACAAAAGCGTTCATCTTCAACAAATGTCCCTTTCTCTTGGAGAAAAATTGAATGGTTATTCATCTCTATTTTTAAAAAAAGTTCACCCAGTGTCACACTTTTTACAGATTATTTCATTTATGGGTGGCAGAAGCATGATTTGTGCTAATAAGACAAAATACGATAGTTAATTTTATTTTTAAACAAGTAGTTTGATGTTCTCATAGCTGCCATTCATTGTTTAAAAGCCTGATGTCATGCAGACATGGCTGAAAAAAACTGCTTTTGGTAACATTCTGTACATGATGAATACATGCTTAGTTGTCTCTCAGATTTCTGATGTCTTTTGACTATAAGATCATAAAGTCAGAATGATCTGCAAAAGTTATTTATCCCACCTCCAACTGAAGCAGAAGATCTCCTTCTTATATGACTCCAGTGATCTAATTCTTTAATAATCAATCCCTGTATTTTGTTTATATTCGAAGAGAGCGATTTCACAAGTGCTGAATAGCTTCTTAAGATGCCTTCTTAAGGGTTATTCTGAATTTGTGAATGAACTTTGAGAGCTTTCTTCTTACCTTAAAAAAGGTAATTCCAATTGGATTGAATACTTGCATTTTCATGCCACTGAACATATGATATCAGTCAAGTTTTTTTTTTCCATTGCAATTTTTTACTTGGTGTATTAGTACTTAAAAAGCCAAGCAAGCTGTGCAGGAATTAATCTGCTATGCAAAACCTCCATATGCTGATTACCCCTGGTTGGATCAACAGGTCTAGGTTCAGTTCAGATGTAAGGATAGGCAGTCATAGAATTCTACATGGTGTATTGAAGAAATAAGGGAATCATCTTTTATTGTACAACTATTTAGACTTGGTTTATGACCTTACAAAACTACTAAAGAGAAGCTCATAATTTCAGCTTCTAAATGTTATAGTCTCACCCACTAGAAATAAAAATACATTCTAATGCAATATCCCTTAACAGATTTAACCACAAGATAATAGATGATCTTTTCATTAAAAAGAAACCAAGTAAGAATTTGAATCCAACTCCATAGAGTGTCCAATGTTCTTTCTATTGTATCATACTATCTTTATTTGTGTATCATACTTGTTTTAAAAGGATCATACTTAACATTGTGAATCATGCTTTAAGAGTGGGAACCTGACTTATATACAGTAATTGCTTTAGTAACCTTCAAGCTGGTTAAAGTCTCCTGAATTATTATAAATAAGGAAATGTGTTTTCAATAATGTGTATACAGTCAACAGTATTTTCTAATAAACTTTTAATATTTACTTTAATGATACTTTTTATTTGCAAGTTGGAATAACCCATATTAAAAAACCAAGGCCAATTGTCTAACAAAATATTAAATATATCCATTATAATCTTACAATTCTTTAATACTTATTGGACACCCCAAAGAATAGTTTATAGAACTAGCCTGTTATTCTCACGACAGTAGAAATGTAAAATGAGGGAGAAGATAAAAATAATAATATGAAGTTGTCCCACTATTTCCCTGTTTGGTTTAGTGTCTGTAAATTGTTAATAAAGTGCTAAAAAGATCAATACATTTTAAAAATATAACTATATTTTAAAATCAATGCCAAAACCACGGAACCTATCAGCTAATGAAGAACAATGAACCTGGGAGGTAGCAAATAATATTATTGTTTTCAAAAGAAAAGTGTGGCCCTACATAATAGCAGTAAAACAATAAAAAAGATGTAACACAGTGAAAAATGTGGAACTAATTTTGAACTAATCACTTCATTTCAAAAAAGAGAATAACATAACATAACATAACATAACATAACATAACATAACATAACATAACATAACATAACATAACATAACATAACATAACATAACAATACAATATAAATACTCTTTCTACTTTTGGGAGGCATGAATATGAATTATCTGGAATATGGATGTGAGTTCCTCCACTACTATGTCACAGGAATACTGTACAGGCTTCTTCATGTAGAAAAGACAAGAATACTGATATAACTAATTTATTTCTGTGGTGAAATAAATTAGTATATCTCTGTATATCTCTGAATAGCACATATTTAGGGAATAAATTAGAAACTTTATCAAACTTGAATAGGATTGAAATTCCCAACTAAAGGAATTTCCAATGGTTGCGAAATATAAAAGCTCTCAGTCCCAACAAAATTAGAGGACAAGAGGTCATAAAAAACTGCAGTAAAGATTGGCTGTTCTTTACAGGTCCTTTGGGTATTTCTTGGAGATACCTGACTAAACAGGAGATAGGTTTTTTTAAGAGCACAAATTTAGGCCTGATGAATTTTGGAATTTATCTCACCCAATCCTTACTTGACTTACCTGACTTACATTTTGCAAACTATTGTATACACATACATTTTATATGAAATCTTCAAGTTGGTAGGTACTTCTTATACTTCCTCTTCCCCATCAGATATGAAAATTACTGCACATATTAAGAATAGATAAGTTTTTTATTTTAATCTTTAGGAAGAGTGTAGAGCAATGAGAACAAATGATTTCAAGGATCCATTTGTAATGATATGGCTGATGATAGCTTTAACCTGTGACGAGGCTGTCTTGTATCTAAACATTCACACTGCCAGCTTTTAGTCTTACAGTGACAGGGTAGAAACAATCTGTTTGATCAGACCTAAAAAGTGTGAAATAAGAAGTACTGCACTCAAGCTCATCTGACTCCACCAAATTGAATGACACAATTTTGGGGAAGGCATGATGTGATTTGTTAATCTGTAAATAGTAGCTCCCTCCAAATTGTCTGAAGAAAGTGAATGAAATGTTTCTCATTGCTTTGTACTCAAACAGCAATTACCCATCTTGTTTGCTGGAGGAAATGTCCATGACATGCTCTAGTGCACGTTAATTCTATTCCAAATTCTTGGATAATTATCTATTTCCAAGTTTGACACAGGTAGGCATCAGCTTCGTGATAATATGAAAAGTCTGACATTTCTTCATGAAGACCAGCGAACAATCTCATTATTTATAGCAGCAAGGTCTCAGGTAGTGTCAAATTAATAAAACTATATATATATATATATTGTGCTACTGGAACTGGGAAGAAAATTGATGATTTTATTTGAACTCTTTGATAGGAGAGAAAAAAATCATATTTTATAAGTAGGAAAACATGTGTTTAGTACTAAGACAACTACCATAATGACCAGAAGAGTGTAAAATGTATCCCCCTGATAATACCCAGCAAATTGCTTCTACAATGTTTTTTTATGAGACTAAAGGACTTGTGTAGGAGGAAAGAAATCAGAACATGAGTATTTATAACCCACAGAAGCAACAAGATTTCCAAAAGTTGTGTATACATTGAAAAGTTTGTAGTTCATATTCACTAAACTGCCCTGGGAACTGCTGTCTTTTCCTGGAAACCAATATTAAACACTAAGAGGTACCTAGAATTAACTAATTCTTTAGCTTAGATTATGAAAGTATATTGTAAATATCATCCTTAGATGTGATTGGAATACAGAAAAAAATGTTATACATCTCAATCCAGATATTTTAGCATAAAGAGGGATTTATAAATATGCAGATAGCAACACAAGCAGTCAGCTCATTCTTTTCATTAACAATGTATAAACATACTAAAGCTTTCCCAAAATTAATATGAATATGGACCAGATTACTTTATCTGAGCATCAGAATCATGATTAATTAATTGGGGCTTCTATGTTGTTTTCTAT